GCAGATTTGCCTTTGTTTACATCGCCAAAGGGGAAAAATTAACTTGATGGAAGGGGTAATTAAGCATTTCTTTTTCCCATCATGGTCCAGCCCGGCTTCATACCCAACTGTTCTGTTTTGCATTGTGATGATTCTTCATCGAGTTGCAGAGTTAAAGGCGGCCAGTGTGTCACTGATGTCACACAGCAACACTTCCCCCACTATTAACCTTTATTTTATGAATAGACAGTAAAAATCTCAGTGCAAGAACTGTCCAACACAGGTAGGCAGATTTACAGAGAAGTGCTGTCTGGAAGGAAGAGATCATTTGAACAAGTCAGCAGATTAGAGTTATAAAGTGTATAAAAGGGATCATCTGCCTTGACACCCTCAGGTCCTAGATGCTGAAATTGCGAGCATGTAAAGTGAATGGATTTTTCTAGTTATAAAGCTTGTAAGTGTAAACCTAGAATCACACCTCCAACCTAGTACCCATCCACTCATGATTGATTCTCTTATTTGCTTATATTTTCAAAAACAACCTGCAGAAGAATATCACCTCCAGTGTTGGAATAAGCTGGTTTACCCAGGTGTACTGTTCAGAATTTGGAATATGTTTTCTTACAGAAACAAAGTTAGTATACGTGATGGTAATTCTCACAGGCGTGTCTCAAAGACACTTAGCACACAGATTCCACAGCTCTGGGAATGATTGTCTGCCTTTTAATGGGGGTTAATGAGAGCATAGTGGAGGCAAATGACCAACCATAGTTCAGTTCCCACTGCTCAGGGCCATGTCCTGTCCAGTGGACCCAGTTCCTTTTCAGGTAAACATAGTTTAGCCTGTGTATCCAGCGTCATGGGGACCAAGCACAGTTCTGAGCTTTGCCATCTGAATCCTCTGGGAAGGTATTGCAGGATATATTTTTCCTTTATATATGGGGGCATCACTGCAAAGCTTCAGGGAGACCCTAATCGGCTGTAGAGACTCTAGTTTATAGTGAATTATCACACTGTTCAGCTGGAAGAAAAATTACTTTATTCTAATTGCTTCACACATTAAACCAGCTAAATGAACAGACCAGGATAAATGTTTTGCTTGGTTTAACTATTTTATAAGAATCAAAGGCAATCCAGGTGATTGTGTTTCTGTGCAACTTTTGCATCAAGCTGAGGTGCTCACATGTGGACGTTGACACATTACAGAGCAAGAATATTTTACATGTAGGCATTCACACACGGCATTTATTTCGTTCAGACCCATTAGAACTTTTACACCCAAATGACCTCTTGCCGCTACTCTGAATAATGGTCAGGGGCTACGTCTCTTACTAGATGGATTTTGTTCACCTCCTGGCTTGAAAATGTCCTCAAAGATAGCTAATTGGACTTCCCTGGTGGAGCAGTGGTTAAGAATCCACCTGCCAATGCAGGGGACATGGGTTCGAGCCCTGGTCCGGGAAGATCCCACATGCCGCGTAGCAGCTAAGCCCGTGCGCCATAACTACCGAGCCTGCGCTCTAGAGCCCACGAGCCACAACTACCAAAGCCCGTGCACCTAGAGCCCGTGCTCCGCAACAAGAGACGCCACCACGATGAGAAGCACACGTGCCGCAACTAGAGGAAGCCCGCACACAGCAACAAAGACCCAATGCAGCCAAAAATAAATAAATTTATTTTAAAAACGGCAGTGTCACTGGCATTAGAGTATACATTTCTATAGTTATTTTAAACCTTGTTGGGGTCACGGATCCCTACAAGAATATGACAGAAGCTATCTCCTCCCAGAAAAATGAACATATGAATATAAGCACACATTTGCATATCATTTCAAAAAGGTTTCTGGACCCCTAGAGTATATTTAGTGGTGCTCTAGGGTTAAGAACTTTTGTTCTAAGGGAACATTTTCAAAAGAGAGAGCATTTATTTTGATTTATAGTCTAGGTATGTTTATTAAAAATTCAATACTATCATCATTTATCATCACAGCTTAAATCTATACATGTACTATCCTGTGTAGACATGTGTAATTGACCTCATTAAAAATGACCTACTGTTTAGAATTTCTGTCTGTAGAACTTTGGCTTGGCTATTTGATTTAATATTTGCAGTTGAAAAAATTCTCTAACAGGACATTGACCTTAAGGATTTTGAAAGTCAGGATCTACATATAAATTTAATTCAAATTCTCTGCTATTAAAAGAACATTGACAGGGCTTCCCTGGTGGCGCAGTGGTTGAGAGTCCGCCTGCCGACGCAGGGGACGCGGGTTCGTGCCCCGGTCCGGGAAGATCGCACATGCTGCGGAGCGGCTGGGTCCGTGAGCCATAGCCGCTGGGCCTGCACGTCAGGAGCCTGTGCTCCGCAACCGGAGAGGCCACAACAGTGAGAGGCCCGTGCACCGCAAAAAAAAAAAAAAAAAAAAAAAAAAAAAAGAACATTGACAGAATCTCAGAATTAGGTGATAACTCTTTCACATTTTCTGAACATTACCAAGTGATAATTTTTAGAATTAAATAAAATGTGAATTCAAGGTGATTCAAGAATTTAGTATATACAACTATAGTTTTCATGGTAGTTTATGGAACTTACACAGAAAAATATACCCTCTTTTAATGACAGTACATACTGGATATATTTTCTCTCTTTTTCATTATGAATAATGACTTTATATACATATATAGTGCAGCTTTCATCCCCTCCCAAGCAGAAAATCCCCAGTCATTTCAAACCCACGACTAAGTGTAATGTAATGGGATCCATGGTTTAAAACATTCAGGATCAAAACCAGTCCTGCTAAAGTTCATGAGACTGGAAATTCACATAGCCCTTTTAATAGAGACACTATAGTGGAAACAATCTTCTGTAGCCACCTGGTTATTTGTGCATGCTATCATGAGCTTATACTTTTTATCTTGCTTTATTGCTGTACATACAATAGGTATGTACACTTCCGAAGAAGAGGCTCACACACAAGACAAAGTGAACTTGTGGCTTTGGTGATGGGTCATATTGATGGGAAATCCTTGTCATCATATAAAGGCATATTTCTGTACACACACAATATACTGAAACATCATATTTCTCGGATGCATAGTCTTTTATATATTTTATTTCCAAAGCCAGGGCACATTCTTAGAATTTATAGTGTGTTATAGTTCATTTGGTCTCATTTTTTTAAATTCTACACATAATAAGAGTGCAAATAACAATTGATGGTATCTTGGATTCAGTGAAACACATTGTATATATTAGAGCACAAAAGATCAGAAGGTACCTTAGCAATGTTACAGCAACTCCTCAAGGAAATTGAAATTAAAGGGTCATTTAACTTACCAAAGACACAGATGTTGGTGACAAACAGGTATAGACTAATGATTAATTTTTTAAGTACTTTCACCCATCTTACATGACTCATTGGACCATAAACTTGTAAACTCAGTGTAAATCACTTTTCAAAAGACATTTCTTAAGTCATATTTGGTACATGAAACATAATGTTTATGTAAGTTAGAAAATATAATAAATTATTAAGTGTAAATGAATAAATTTTAACTACGTACAAAATCTTGGATAATCTTGAAAGAAATGAGTGTTGTACAAGGCTACATATCAAATGGTACCATTTTCTATAAACAAGTAGAACTAAAATACTTTCAAAATTAAAATTTAGCCTGGTTCATATAGTACCTTTTTTCAGTCATTGTTCATTTTCAGTGTTCATGTGGAAAAAAGTATTCAAATGATATTTTTTAATCCACATGTTAGATTTAAAACTAAAGAGGCATATTTTAATGGGAGCTGATTTAAAACAATTTGACGTGAGTTAACAGTTTGGGAAATGTGTCTGTGCTCAAGTTTTGCTTCCAGATTTGGACTTTGAAACTTATTGTCAGTCTCAGAAAGAAATAAGAAACAGTGCAGGTAATTAAACAGTTGCCTTGGGGGAATTATTTGCAGTCCATTAAAACCATACACTTTGGGTGTATACTTGCTTCATTGGTTATTAAATTTGAATCTTATGTTAACTGCCCAGGTTTCTCACTTGTCCATCAAATGTTGCTTGTGGCAAGTTGGAGAAACAGACTTTCTCATAATAGTCTAAAACATATTGTTCACAGCTATCTCCTAGTTTGGGGAGGGAGAGAGAAAAATGGGTAAGGGAAACAAAGCAAGAATGATTTATTTTAGATTCCATCTGATTCAGCTCTGTTAGGGAGTTAAAACGCAACTGAGGAATGTGAACTCAGTAGAGAACCCATTTGTATTAGACGTGCTGGTCTACCATCCCCAGCTCTCTCCATGGCCACATGCATACAAGGTTAGCTCATGACTTAGATATCTTTGGATTACCACCCTTTTAACTGCATGAAAAATATCCACTAGATTGTAACCCCTATGAGAGCAGAGATTTGTTGTTTTGTTTACTATTGACTCCCCAGTGTCAAGGACTGTGCCTGGCGTAGAGTTGGCCCTTCGTAAATATTTGTGGAATGGAAGATCTATTTTCTGTCTTTCTGCTGACCTACTCACGTGCTCTTTCCAATGGATTTTGAAGAGCCTCCCTAGAGGTCTCCAAAATCCAACAGGGGGCCCTTTGTAGCTTTGCGAGAGTCCATAAGTCACTGGAATCCTTTTAGCCACATATTTCCTGTAAAATACATCATACGATAAAAAAAAAAAATGATGAACTTACGCTGATCCCACGTTTAAATGTGCTACACAAGAGAAAGAGTGACGTTGCAGAAAACAGAAGGTTTGTGTTCCCCCTTTGCTATCTTTCTACTGGTATAGCTCCTGAGGAAGATGAACTTAATTACCACTGGATTTCAAAGCTCTACATCTGCCGTTTTCAAGGACTCAAGGCTCCCATATATGCACAACAACAGTAATGGAAGCATTAAGAACATTAAAATTATATCCCTTTAATCTTCTCTATTTTGCCTTCCTTTCATATCCTTCTGCACAATTCTCCTAAGATTTTCACTGATGCATAACGTCTGCTCATATTTTCTTCCTAGCCGAATCTTTACCGTTTTTACCTTATGAACTTTGTGCAGACATCTTATGCAGTACTTTCAGAAAAGCTTATTTATTGATGAAGATATTTAAGTATTTTAATGACATTTTAAAAAAATAATAGATTTTTTTCCCCAAACATAGATCTATTCTTTTAGTGCTGGAGGCTGCCGTATTTCCTGGTTAAAAATGCTAACTAGGGATTGTGCTTGTTTGTGATGTCAGATTCTACAAAGGATGACAATATTACAAAAGAAAATGAAGTAACAGATCATTCTGTATGTGGCCAAGATCATCCCAATGGTAAGTTGTGAGATTCTTTTTCAGTTGTTTTTTTTTTTTTTTTTCTGCTTTGGAATATTGCGTTTTCTAAAACCCAGATTTTACTTTTTCTGGAAAAATGGAATCTGGAATCTTGAACAACTCAGGAATTAGGGGCACCAGCCCTCCACACAGTCAAAATTCAGTGAACAACTTTATAGTCAGACCCCCGTATCTGTGGTTCCACATCCACGGATTCAACCAACCACAGACTATGTAGTACTATGTAGTACATATTTGTTGAAAAAAATTTACCTATAAGTGAACTGCGCAGTTCAAACCCATGTTGTTCAAGAGTCAATTGGGGCTTCCCCGGTGGCACAGTGGTTGAGAGTTCCGCCCGGCGATGTGGGGGACGCGGGTTCGTGCCCCGGTCCCGGAGGAGCCCACGTGCCGCGGAGCGGCTGGGCCTGTGGGCCATGGCCACTGGGCCTGCGCGTCCGGAGGCTGTGCTCCGCGCGCGGGAGAGGCCACAGCGGTGGGGGGCCCGCGTACCGCAAAAAAAAAGTCAACTGTGTTTTACTAGAGCTAAATACCAGCTGATTGGTAGCTGCCACATTTAGAAGGGATGTTTGCTCTCCGCAATCCTCGTTACTCATTAATTTTGTACCTGGCTGGCTTCATTTATTTTTTTTACCTGACTGAACTCTGTAGGCATTGGATTTGCAACTACTGGAAGGAAGATATGATACCAATGAGAATAAATGTGAAACATGGAGACAGTGTACACAGGAGATTAAATCTACATCTCCTTGGAATACCAAGAAGAGATAATAGAACAAATAGAAATGAAGCAGTCTTTAGAAAAATAACAGAAAAAAATGTTTTCCTAATGCAAACCAGTTCCTCTCCCCAAAACACGAGAGTACATGTTGTATTTATAGGCAAAGATAATGAAAACTCAAATGAGAACAGAAACCTACAAATCCTCATGGAATTTCTGAAGATCGATAATAAAGGAGGGCTTTTAAAGCATCTAGGAAATTCAAAATCAGGTTATAAGCAAAAATCACCAAAATCAGATTAGCCTTAGCCTTCTTCTTCCACAGCTCTAAATCCTCAAAAAAAATAAAATAAAATAAATGGAGTAACATTTCCAGGGCTCTAAAGGACACCGTGTCTATATTTAGTGAAGTTATTATTCATGCATGAAGTCAAGAGTAATATTTTCTCAGGAATAGAAAGATTAAGAAAATATGCCACCCAAGTGTCCTTTCTGAAGAAACTAACAAAAGGCCTGTGCAGAAACAATAAATACAGAAAAGAAGGAAACATTCAAGACTGAGAAGGGCACAGTTGGAAAGGACTATGTGATAAGAGACTCATTTAAATGTATGAAAACGTTGAAATAATTGTTTCAAAATTAGTATCAAAAGAGCTTACTTAAATGGTTGCTTTTACCTTTGAAAATTATAGTATATTATTTTAAATGAGAAAGAAAAAGAAGGAGACACTTTCAGTTTCAGCAATGAGAATCTAAATAATTTAGACCATTACTCCCACTAGACAACCTGGACCAAAATATATATATATATATATATATATATATATGTATACATATAT